AAAAAAAAAAAAAACAACGACAAAAAAAACAAAAAAAAAACAAACAAAAAAAAAAGCAGGCAAGACAAAGACCAACGAGCTTAGCTCAGCTGGTAACTTGATACACCAATGAACTGTTGAGAACTTGTACAGACCAATGTTCAAATCCTGCTGGACCTAGATAAGTGAAATGAATAACTATCCATTTACCTAATGAATGATTCTAAAATTATGTGCAGCCCGTCAGTTCCATGAGGATATCTCACAGGTCGTAGGCCTGCAAAAAGAACAAAAAGAGAAAGGGCAAGAAAAAACTTCAAAAAAGAGAACATAGCATAAGAGGAGATTGCATCTTTCCAAGCTGCTGGATGAACAGACCATGAACAGATCATGCAGACCGCACATCGTGTCCTTGTGGCTGTACAGTACAGAGTCTACACACAAATATCTGTCCTTGTGACTGTAGGCCTCTCACACATATACGTGTCGATCAGTGCAGCGATCCTGCGTTTTTTTCCCTTGGTCCTTGTGGCTGTATGGTACACACATATAACTGTCTATGAACAGATCATGAGTTTGAAACCTGAGAGAATAAGGGATGCAATACTGTTAGGGGGTTATAGCCTCGAAAAAAACAGAGAAAAGAGAAGAAAATAGCCTGTATACCTCCTCCCTTCGATTGCTGTGGCCAAATGCCTCGGACGCCTCTCTCAAAAGTCATCTGGCTGGCTACGGATCCAGTCCTTGATGCCCAGAACCTCTGGGAGAAAGACGCATGTCCGCGAGGATGACAAAGTACAAAATCATCTCCTGAAGAAACCCAAAACTTCACCACAACTCCAAGCAATCAGACATTAGAAAGGAAATGCCCCCTGTCCTTCGGGACATCTCTTAAAATTGGACCCGTACAGGGAATATTAGCATGACCCCTGCACAAGGATGAAACACATAAATCAGCAAACGGTATGAAAGAAAAGCAGCACCATCTGGCCTAACTCAGTTGGTACACCCCTGAACTGTTCAAATATACAGACCTGAGTACGAACTCCACTGGAAGCAAATTAGTAAAACACTACAATCCTGAAATTACCTAGGGCCGGGCAGTTCGATGATCGTATCTCAAGGCCATCACTCTTTCAAAATTAGAGGGTGGGGGGGGAGGGAAGAGAGAACAAAGGAAAATGCCCCTTTCTAGCTCTCCTAGCAAATGGGTGGTAGGCTTCATCTGCCAGGGCATAGACGAGCAGTATCTTCACAAACTCGGTAGCCAACAGACATCACAGATCCCACAAACAGTTGAAAAAAAACAGAAATTGCAGACATCATCAATCTACAAGCAGTCTCTCTGATAGGTCAGTCGTGACAATACAGCCATAGGTTGGTTACAGAGAGCCTTAACGGCCCTGCCTGCTGGGAGGGAGAAAAGTAGCACCTCTGCTTTCCCCCAGGCCATACTTGCTTTTGATACAATGCAGGACGTACTTGACGCGAAAACTGTGCCAGATTCTATCTTACCCCAACGAGCATAATGCACCCTCATTCATGACTGTATACAAGCTATCTTCCCAACCAAATACAGTCATGAAGAGAGTGCGTTGTGATCGGTGGAAGACTGTGGCATGCCTGTACACTGAGTTCAAGCCTAAT